CAATTTAACAATATTAATTTTAGCTGCGCCCTTTTGCTTTGATCCATGAAGCAGTAGTTTTGAAGTTACCTTTTACCTTTAGTCCAATACAGACTGACAATTCCAAGGCTGAAACTATCCAAATGATTCTAGTGAAGGTGTATGGAGCTTAAAAACACAGTGGAGCACTTCCTGTATTGCTATGTAACATTACAAAGTGGACCACTGTGTTTTCTTAGAGAAGAACTCAACCTTGATATGCAGGATTTGTGTGATAAAAATGTCAAAATGAAACAAAACCCAACTCCAGATATGTTTGTGATGAGGAAACAACATTATAACACGTCAGAAAATAGCACACAATGGAGTCTTGAAATATTATTGGCCTATACAATGTAACACAGCAATACCACTTCAATTTACTAATATTATGAGCTTGTAGTATGAAGTATAAACAGCAAAGTATCTTATAAAGTAAAGTTCAAAGCCTGTCCTCATGACCTAGCATTGACTCCACTCTACCCCTCCAATCTCCTCCCTCTCTTCCCTCTCCTCCCCCGCCTCTCCTCAGATCCGATCCTGTGCGGGAGCCGGCGGCCATGTTTTTTTCTCTGTCTGCTCTTCGCCGCATATAACCCAGATGAATGCAAGCGTACGCTGAGGAAAACGTCATGTACTGATGCAATTATCATCTATTGCTTCCTGTAATCATATCAGAGCTCTTTTGAACAATAATCCCGTGGCCAAATGTCTGGATCCTGCCCCTATACTCCTGCCTGTTTATTGTTCTCCACTCTGGTAAAACGCAATTCAATTTACCCAGTGAACTATTAGATCTTTTGCTCTGTAGAATAAACTGAAATCGTATTTTTGCCGGGAAATTATCAATACATCTCGGTGAGCCCCAAAGTAAGATGACACGGAGCAAAAGTAGACCCTGGGTGGATGGAAGGATGGAGCAGATGAAGGATGGAGAGGGGAGGATGAGAAGACTTTCACCAGCTGGCAATGGGATTTATTGACATCTAGAGGTCGGATGTATGCACTCCACTTTGGTGAAATCGCATCAGAACTGTAAAAGAGTGGGGAGGCACGCTGGATACTTTATTGTGAGCTTGTTATAAGAGTAAACCGGTTGTATATTGAAATGTCGGATGAATGCGGCGAAGATAGAGCACTATAAAAGAATGGCGAGGAAAACATGAGAAAAACTGATATCAAAGTACAGTTTTTATCATGTTAGTGTGGTTTGAGCTGTGAAGGTTGTCAATCTTGATAGCTCTATATTGGGAGACTTGGTCATGTAGTGCCAAAGAAAATCTACTGTAATTTTCATGTAACATTGTTTAGTTAGAACTTTCAAGTTCAAATGACACATTTTTCATACATTTTCCCACTAATCCTGACATAAACCAGAAAGTTTTGTTGTTCCATTGGGCAAGACACATCATCCAACCTACCTGCAAACATGATTTTGTGATTTGCTTTGCAGGTTGCATGCCCAGATTTTAACAGCTACATCACTGCTACTTTAACTTCTTTTTCTTAAAAAAAAAAAAAAAAAAAAAAATATAATATATATATATATATATATATATATATATATATATATATATATATATATATATATATATATATATATATATATATACATTTTATAGAAAGAACATTGATTAAAATGATTTCTCTGCACATTAACTTTATATGAACTAAACTAACAAATTATTTGTAGTGTTGTAAAAACATGGAGGAGTTTCATAGATTAACATAGACACACACCAGCTGGCAATGGGATTTATTGACATCTAGAGGTTGGATGTGTGCACTCTGGCGAAATCGCATCAGAACTGTAAAAGAGTGGGGAGGCACGCTGGATACTTTATTGTGAGTTTGTTATAAGAATAATCCGGTTGTATATAGAAATGTCAGATGAATACGGCAGAGAGAGAGCACTATAACAGGATGGTGACGAAAACATGAGAAAGACTGATATGAAACTACATTTTAAAATCATGTTACAATATGATTTGAACTGTGAAGGTTGTCAATCTTGATAGCTCTATATTGGGAGACTTGGTCATGTAGTGCCAACAAAAATCAACTTTAATTTTTGTGCAACATTGTTGGATTGGAAACTTGAATTTGTGATTTGTGATGGTCTGAAGAGGTTTTTCAAGTAACTAGGAAGTAGTTTGATCAGATTTTATAGAAAGGACTTTTGACATGACTTCTGTAGATCTTTTATATGAATTAAACTAAAAATGTACTTATAGTTGAGATCAAGTAAAAAGTGTACTTTAAAAGCAAGGAGGAGCTTCATGGATTAACATAGACGTACACCAGCTGGCAATGGGATTTATTGACATCTGGAGGTCGGATATATACACCCCACTTTGTCGAAATTGCATCAGAACACTAAAAAAGAGAGCAGGCTATGAAAGGACGGTGAGGAAGTGTGGTTTGAGCTGTGTAGGCAGTCATCTTCATAGCTCTATACCGGCTGACGTGATCATTTGGAAAATCTACTGTCATTTTCTCGCATCAGTGTTTAGCTAGAAACAAATTAAAATTACAGTTTTTTCATATATTTCCTCACTGATCCTAACGTTGCCAGAAAGTGTTGTTGTTCCACTGGGCAAGACACTTCATACCCTCATAATTTTTTTATTTATGGTGATGTGAAGTGGTTGATGGTACAAATTAGAAGCTACATCTCTGTATCTTTAATAAAAAAAGAAAAAAAAAGAAAAAAAAAGACATGGCTGAAAATTGTTTGGTGACACGCTGTATAGAAAGAACAGAACACGATATATTATTGCTGCTATACAATGACTTCTATACAGCTTTAACTTTATATTAACGAAACTAATAATTTATTTGTAGAGGAGAGCATGTAAAAAGTGTACTTTAAAAACACAGTAGAGCTTCATGGATTAACATAGGTGTACACCAGTTGGCAAGCTTGTATGTGAGCTTGAATATTGAAATATGGAATGAATGTGGCATAGAGAACATGCTATAAAAAGATTCTGAGGAAAACATGAGAAAAACTGATATTAGCGCACAGTTTTGATCATGTTACAGTGTTAAGGTAGTCAATCATCTATAGGCGGAATGGACAGAGGAAACCACAACCTTAGATACAATAATTGTAGTAGTAATTGTAGCATAACATTGTTAAGTTATAATTTTCTGGTTACATGCAAAATCAAATATGAACATGGTTAGTTTTATTTCAAACATTATTCTGTCAACACAGACATTTACATCATCAGTCTGGCGTAATAACAGATTTGCTTCAGGTGCTTTGTGGAGTGGGTAAAACTGTTTTTAGTGTCATTACCATTGACATGCACTAGCCTAGCACCAGCGATCTCTGCAAATACAAGGACTGGATGGAATATTTACATCTCCAACACTCCGGGTAACAAGGAATTGAGTTCCTATGTCCAGAATTCCAGACTGTCCCTTTAACTTTATTAATACACAACTTTTAAAATAAATAAATAAAAGAAATAAAAGAAATTGTGACCATACCGGCTTGTCAAAGCTGGATCCCGTCAGATCTCAGAAGCTAAGCAGGGCCGGGTCTGGTTAGTACTTGGATGGGAGACCTCTGGGAAAATCAGGTGTCACAGTGGGATGCCAGTTGTAAAAACTGTCATTGTATCCTTAGGCAAGGAACTTCACCCCATTGCCTAGTATGAAAGTCCTGGGTGAGTGATGGTGGTGATCGGAGGGGCATGTGGCACAGATTGGCAGCCTTGCTTCTGTCAGTTTGCCCCAGGGCAGCTGTGGCTACAATGTACCACCACCAGGTATGGAGTGAAAGAATAATGCTCTGTAAAAAAGCATCTTTTAGTGTCCAAAAAAGCTCCATATAAAATTGATGCATTATTATTCATTATTATTAAATAAGTCTCAGTGCTTTACAGTGAGCAGTTGGCCAACAAGCTTAAAAAAGTTTGACATCAAGGAGCAGAACACTGAGACCCCTTTGCTGGAGCAGGGGTGTCGTGGATAAGTGCATTGAATGTGAAGTTAAGAATGAATTTAAAAAAAAAAAAAAAAAGAAAAGAAAAGAAATCACCAGGACTGTCACTGAATTTTAAAGTTTTGTTTTCAAAATGTGTCTCTTGAATATATGTAATATCAGTATTATGAGTATTATGAGACTTAAGATAGCTAAGGGCATTCTTTTAATTGGTGAGCCACAACCTTTTATGTTCCATGACACAATATTAACATCAAAATGATTCATGGCCATTGAATACACTATAGTTACAAGAGAACCCTATATCTCCACGTCTACAACTCATCTCACTGGTAGAATGTTCCCCTAAATAACACGAGAGAAAAAAGAAACAGTGCTCCAAAAAAGACCCTGGCAGTGTTAATGTCTATCCAACATAGTCCTCCCCTTCTGTGTGAATCCGGGGGTTGACCTCCTCACTTCTCATCAGCACTGGACAGCTCCTGGTGAGTATGAACAAGATAGGCCGGACAAGATCTGTCGTCAATGTTTTCAGTGGGTCTCCTCTGGCTAAAGTCAGCCTTTTCCTTCAGGGACGGCCAGAGTAAAACGCAAAGTAGAATAAATGCACCAACACTTGGAATAACTTTGAAAGGGGATGCTAAAAACAAACTTAAACCATGATCAGTGACAATTTTGCATAAGTAGTCTGGCAACCATCACATCACATTCTATAGCATGGCTCTGCTGACATCACCATAGCAACAGGTAAACTCTTGTTTGATGCGTCCCCTTTGTATGTAATGTAATGTGGGTAACCATGGCAACAGAATGTGTTTTCTTCAGAATGTTCCGTGGCTTTGATGTTGTCATAAAGCTTGCTTTGCAAAGCTTCTTGCTTTGACTCAGGCATATCAGGGTGTAGAAGACGAAGTGTGTGACACAAGCGAGTTAGCAATTGAGCCGGAAGCAAGCAGGCAAGTTTGTTTGTACCTTTATTAACATACGTCGTAAAACTTCTACATCTACGGTGTTTTACAGGAAGCAAATGGCTAACAAACCTGGTAACAACTGTGAGGTGGAGGAGCAGTGGCCCCCTTTGCTGAGTCGCAAACAGCGACGAACGCAAAGGAGAGCCCTCCTCCAAGAGGAAGAGGATCAGACTACCAACAAGGACAATCTTCTGCAGGTCTCCCAGGAAGATCTGCTGAAAGAAATACAGATGTTGAGAGCTCAATTAAGAGAGGAACAGGAGGAGAATGAAAAAGAGAGAGCTCTCCATCAGGAACAATATGAACGCAAGTATGTCTATGCAGAAAATCTCCAGAAACAAATACACCGCCTGAAAAGGGAGAAGTCCACTGCATATGACAAACAAATGAAAGACGTCAGGGCAGAGGTAAAGGATGAGCTCAAGGGACAAACCACTGCCAACGCTTTACTTCGAGGGCAACTTGGTCAAGTTAAGTTGCAGGAGAAAGAGCTAAAGGACCAGATCGCCACTCTCACCCAGCACCTGGAAAAGGAGCAGGTGGAGAAGCAGGACCTCATGCGTCTTGTGGCCGAACTTCAGTCCTCCCTTAAGGAAAAGGACCAGACCGCCGCAGCAGCTCAGACCAGAGTGGACATTCTGGTCCAAACCGAACTTCAAATCCTACTGGATGAGAAGGTGAGCCTGGAGTCAACTGTGGCAGAGCTTAGGTCCGCTCTCTGTGTGGAGAAACAGTCTGTTGAAGTCCTCCACGGCAGAGAGAAAGAGCAGAGCCAAATAATCCGAGAGGAGAAGGCAAAGTCACAAGCCTTAAATCAGACTCTCGAAACCGAACTTCAAATCCTACTGGATGAGAAGGTGAGCCTGGAGTCAACTGTGGCAGAGCTTAGATCCGCTCTCTGTGTGGAGAAACAGTCTGTTGAAGTCCTCCACGGCAGAGAGAAAGAGCAGAGCCAAATAATCCGAGAGGAGAAGGCAAAGTCACAAGCCTTAAATCAGACTCTCGAAACAGAGAGAAAAACTTTTAGCGCTGTGATTGAGCGGTGCCACACTACTTATGCTTCCCTTCTGCATCTAAAAGACCAGCTCGCCCAGAAACTAAACAACTCCAAGCAGGAGACGGAGCAGCTGAAGGTGCAGCACCAGGATGAGCTCAGTGCTCTGCAGAGCACTGAGGAGAACAAGAGGGCCCTGCTGCAGGACAAGATCCGGGAGCTTTCTGAGGCTCTGACCTCTTCAGAACAGACTAACCAGGAGCTCCAGGACAAGATTATGACCAAGGAGGAATGCAGGGAGAACATCAATCAAAAGAAGAGGCGAGGATGGTTCACGCGGTTCTTCTGTCGCACTTAGACCATCTGGAGAATTTAATGTACTTTGAGAACTAAAAAGTTCTCATCGTCCATTCAACTGAATTGAAAATGTTTTGATGGAACAATTAGCTCACGTATGAATTCTTAAATTTGTATTGGAGCTAAGGCCAAATATTTTCCATTCTTAACTTTTCATTAATGTTTATTATATATATATTATATATATATATATATATATATATATATATATATATATATATATATATATATATATATATATATATATATATATATATATATATATATATATATATATATATATGTTCATGTAATGTTTATATAAAATATCAAATAAAAATATTAACACTATATGTTGGTGTGACTGCACTATTATTTGCCTTTCTTGTAAATGCACATTCACATAATGACACTAAAGAACAACATATTTTCATTTAAATACATTTGAACATTTCCTTCAATGACACTGGAATGACTGCAGCACTGATTCAGCCGTTGACACACTGACTACAGTCTAATAGAGACTTGAGAATACATGGAGAATGAGTCAGAAGATCAGCCATTAAAATTAAAGAAGAAATGTTGAGCACTAGGCAGTAAATATATTTTCTGAGCACCCAAGCCTCAAATGCAGGACAAAACACAGATACAACTTTGAGCAACGACTCACAAGTCCATTTCACATGTGTCTCCATTAAGGTTTGGTTTTTCATCAAATTCAAACTGCATTGTAAAGTAGGACTCCAAGATGTGTTTTTTGAAATACCATAATTTCTTCCAGAAAGAACAAAATAGCAACAATAATAGAATAATTTTATTAAAACCAATCGTCAAAAGTCAAATTGAAAAGCTTTGTCAGGAAAATCACAATCAAACAACCATTTTTAAGTTAATAATTCCATTTGAAAAACAAACAAAATTTGCACAGAAAGGCTTGACTGCTCCGGGAGTTGAACCTGGAACACTCTTGCTGTGAGGTGAGTGTGCTAAATCTTTAGCTGATTAATTAAATGTAGTTATCTTAAAAGTTGATTGTCAACTTTTATTAGAATTTGGAATATTTAAAATTATTTGATGGCTTCTCACTTCTTTGACAAAATAAAAAAACAAGCATATAAACAATTTGTTGCCGTTTGTTTGTTATTACATTTGTGTATAGTATTTCTTGTCCTAACCTGCCAGGGACTACAGATTGAAATGAGCCATTTGACTTCTACTGACATTGGAATATGCACTGTGTCTTTAAAGGGACAGTTCGGAATTTTGGACATAGGGCCTCATTTCCTAGTGAGCCAGAGTGCTGGAAACGTGTGGAGACACTTTTTAAAATATTCCATCATTCTTGTATTTGCAGAGGTCGCTGGTGCTAGGCTAGTGCATGTCAATGGCCATAATTATCCTGCCACTGAAAACAGTCTTACCCACTCCACAAAACACCCGAAGCAAATCTATTTTATGCTGCAAGATTACTTTTATTTCAAATGTTATTCTGTGGATTTTAATGGACAATGCAATCACGTCCCTAGATACAGTAACACTGGTTTGAAATGTAAGACATAACATAGCTCTATATTGTCAGACTTGGTCTTATAGTACCAACAAAATCTATACCCTAATTTTTTAACTAGTTAAGACATTTTGCTCATGTACCGAAAATGCTGGCAATTCAGTCTCCTTCAGCAGAAACTGTTCTTTTGCCTTTGGGTAAGACACGTCATCCAGTATACCTGCAAACATGTGGTGATCAAAGAGGTTGGAGGCAAAGATTAGCAGCTACACCTCTGCAACTTTAATTTCTCAAAACAAAAGGCTGCTGCAGATATCAATGCACAGTTTTGATCATGTTGCAGTGTGAAGGTATTCAATCATCTCTATAGGCATAATGGACAGATGCAATCACAATTGTAGATACAATAACAACGGTTTGAAATGTAAGACATAATGTAGGTTCTCAAGACGAATATCCAATCAGAAAGCAAAACAAACTTCAAATGAGTCTGTGATTTGGCTCTCCAAGCATATTTCCAGCATAAAACGAGTGTCCAATAAGAACTTTTTTTTTTTTCCATCAAATGCATGCGCTACATCCATTTTGATTGGCCCAAAGTTTGCCAAAGAGTGTAGTGAGTCAAAATGGTCGACTGCTCTGAACATCTGTGTTTGTAACAGTTGAAAAATCCAGTCCAAGCGCAAATATTTCTCAAATAAATGGCAAATTATGGATCTTGGTCTGTGAAATTGCGCAGAGGCAATTGCACTTTTTTTGTTTTGAAGGCAATAAGGACCTTTTTAGTTTACTTACAGACTTGATATTTTGCACTTTCATAGCTAAGGCCCTAAACTAAACATTTTTTTTTTTATGTCCAAAAAGTTGTTTATACATGTTTGCTGTGTGTCTTGTATGAAAGAGTGTGAATTTTATTTTCTGTTTTACTTGTCCTATAGCTTTTATTACAGCCATATGACACAACTACAGCATGAAAATTGTGAAATAACAGATTGTACTGAAAAAACTTCACTTCACACACTTCATTAGGGAGTAAAAGGAGGAGTTTTAATAGCAAAATTAAGAAAAAAATCCAGGCGAGGACAAATGTACCAAAATTGTCTGGAAGGGTTAACCAGTTGATTTAGGTTATGGTCCCATTTAGGGCTTTCTGCTGATTTTTTTTGTATGCACCTTTAAGTAAGTGAAGCAATGAGAATGAGAATAAGTAGTTAAAAACAGCACCTGCTAAATAATCAGTATAGGTTTGTGTGGTACAGACTTTAAAAATATGGAGAAGCTTCATAGATTGTCACAGATCTGATCTGAAATTTGGTCTGGTGGTGTCCCCTGTTCGTCTCCATGGAAATATATACGTTTTAATACCATACTCTCGAATATTCTGAGCAAAGCAATAACTCCACGAGAAATGTTCCGCAGTGCAACTTTAATTAAATAAAGCCTACACTACCCTAACTTTTTTTTCCCTTATTCAAATGCTTAGTCAACATTTCCAAACTTACCAGAGAAGTTGCTGCTGCCGCCGTGCCTGTGCGATTGTGTGAGTGACAGTGACAGGTGCAGACAGGTGCAGGATTAGACTTTCAGATGCCCCGTCATGAGGCAGCAGATCCGCAGTGCTTTGCATCCTCTAGCAGATGCTCCAATACTGATGACACGCGGAGTCAGGGAGCGAGGAAGAGACCTTAATCCGATCAACCAACTCCAAACATAAACACACGAGAGCCGTCCCAGAATGCAGTGAGAGGAGGAGCCTGCAGGGGGCTAGGGAGCAGACAGGCAACTGCAGGTCGTGTAAGGAGACTGGATCTGAGGCATGTTTGTGATGGATTTAAAGTGTATTATGTCACTTTTCTCCTGAGAGTCCGCCACCTGTTTGTCTCCATGGAGATGCTTTGCCTTGAATGTTCCAAAGTACAGCGCTTAACGTGTCTATCCTGTTTTTATTCCATTACATTTGTCTTTATTGTCTAAAAACAAACTTAAAAACCATGCATGTGAGCTGTGAGCAGGGTCACCTCTCCATAGATCAGACCTGTAACTTGGCTTGGGGACATAATGTGTTTGACTCTATATGCTTAATGCCATGCTGTGGAACAATCCAGGCAAAGCAATGTCATCTGCATGGAGATAAGAATGTGTCAGTTATACTCCAGAAAAGCTACATAGTCTTCTGAATCCATGTATCAGTCGTTCATTTGTTTTTCAATATAAAACCAAAAATAAGAAAACTAAAAAACATTCATTATTTGTCTCCAAAACCAAAATAAAAAAAAAAAAAAAGATAATGGCTGTTTCCCGTTCACGTGACTTCTGTGACCAGGACTAAACCAGGACTAAACCAGGTCTGGGATCAGACCAGAACTGAGACCAGGATCAGACCAGAACTGAGACCAGGATTGAGACCAAAAACAGGACCAGGATTGAGACCGGGAACAGGACCAGGACTGAGACCGGGACCAGACCAGGACTGAGACTGGGACCAGACCAGGACTGAAAACGGTTTAGTCCTGGTGTAGTCCTGTTTTATTTCTGATTCAGTCCTGGTTCAGTCCGTATGCGGCATGAAAGTCTGCCATCGCATTCATGAAAGTGACGTAAACAGGAAAGGGCAGTTATCAATTTTTTCATTTTGGTTGGAGGCAAATAATGAAGAAAAACTGTTGGTTTTTCATTTTCTTATTTTTGGTTTTATATTGAAAAACGAATGAACGAATGATACACAGATTCTTCTGTCTTTTATCTATTTGTATTGGATTTGGATTAAAGTTGATGTCAGTCCAAGACATTAGTGTAGACTATATCTAAATATTTGTTGTTTTGAAATTTATTATAGAAATAAAAAATATATAGTATCTAAGATAAACAAATCCAAGCATTTTCAATTTATTGATTTTCTCTACCAGTATTTTAGGCCGTGTAGAGACTATTTGTCAAATAAAAGTAACAAACAAAAGCAGTAAGCAAACTCAGAACTAAACATAACTCAAATAATCACTTTTGAGCACCATGGGTTTGTGGTTTACGCAGTGACAAAAAACAAATCAATGTCCATGACCAGAGCTGTGTTTCCAGATTTATTTCCAGTTTTAGGCAAACAACAAGGATACAGTCCCTGACAAAAGTCTTGTCGCTTATCCATTTTGTAGAAACAAAAGCTTATAACCTGACTTTAAATTAATCGATTGGTTTTAGAAATGTCTCATATGAAAGCTAAAACCCTCCCAAATTATGCTCAATAAACTAAAATAAATTAGCTTCACTGAAAAAAGATTGATCATTTAATGAACACAGAAAGGTCAGATTTTGGCAAGACAAAAGTTTTGTCACCTACAGAAAATTGAACAAATAATTTACTTCAAATACAAAAATATGTTGCATAACATCAGTGAATTAAGTAGTGGTGCTGTGAGATCCATATTTAATATCTTGTATGACTTCCATGAGCTTGAAGGACGCATCCATGCGGTTCAACAATGATTCATACAATTTGTTGATGAAGTCATCAGGAATAG